TTTTTTTTTAATTTGGTCTATTTTAATTAATTTAAATTTAAGTGCCACATTTGGCCTCTAGTTACCATACTGGATGGCACAGCTCTAGAAAGTGAGCAAGACTAAGTATAAAACAACCATTAACTCTTTACTTACAGGTGCTTAATTACTATCAACTCCTCCTGTTATCCAACATAGATTTAAGTCAATTTTCATGTTGTTTACTTAAGCATGAGATCACAACAGTGGAGCTATTTAAAATTTTGATACAGCTATAACATGATCGCATCTGTGATTTAAAAAGCTAACTCTAGCAATAGTGCATAGGAAGACCCAATTATATACAGACTACATATATACATATACACAAGTGTTTACAAATAAAAGACTAATCCAGTTTGAAAGATATACCTTGCAAACCATAAACATTCTTCAAGACAAAAAGATACTGTCAGAGATAAAGAGAGATATTAATAATGATCAAAGGTCTATTTGTCAGGAAGACAGAATAGTTCTATATGAATGTGAGACTTATAACAGAAATTCAAAGTACGTGAAGCAAACATTGACATAATTATAGAGAAATAGACAATTACTAAATCAAAATAGGAGATGTTAACACCCCTCAGTAATAATAGAACAGGACAAAAAAAAAAATCGACAACACTGAAGATTTTCACAACACCATCAATCAAATGAATCTAACTAACATTTAAAGAACACATATAGAACCTAACAACAGCAGAATACACATTCTTTTCAAGTACACATGGAACATTTACTAAGACAGATTATATCCTTTATAAATTTAAATAATAAAGTATATTCTTGAACCATAATGGAGACTAGAAATAAGTAAAAGAGGAAAATCTCCAAATACATGGAAATTAAATAACAGACTTCTAAATAACCCCAGGGTCAAAGAGGAAATCGAGAAATTAGAAAACATTTTAACCTAAATAAAAATGAAAATACAAGATATCAAAATTTGTGGGATGCAGTTAAGGAAGTGATTAAAGTAAATTTATAGCATTAAATGTTTAAATGGAAAAGAAAGGTCTCAAAACAACAATCTAGGTTTTCAAAGAACAAAATAAACCCAAGCAAGTAGAAGAAAGGAAATAATAAAGATAAGAGCCAAAACTGATGAAACTGAAAATGGAAAAACAGTAGAGAAAAATCAACAAAACACAAAGCTGGTTATTTTGAAAAGGTCAGTAAAATCAATAAACTTCTATCAAGACTGACAAGACAGAAGACACCAATCACCAATATTAGTAATCAAAGAGTATAGACTATAGACTCCATAGATATTAAAAAAATAACAGAATGCTACAAACAACTCTATGCACAGAAAGTTGACAACTTCAATGAAATGGACTAATTCCTTAGAAACCACAAACTACCAAATCACCTAAGATAAAACAGGTCACCTTAGTAATAATGAAAAACATTAGATTCATAGTTTAAAATCTTGCCAAAAAAGAATCTCTAAGTCCAGATGATTTCACCAGAGAATTCTACCAAATGTTTAAAGAAGAAATAACACTAGTTGTATACAATCTCTTCCAGAAAACAGAAATGAAAGAAATGCTTCCCAACTCATTTTATGAGGCCAGTATTAGCCTGATTCCAAAACCAGATAAAGACCACTGAAGAAAACTATAGACTTCCCAAGAACACAAAACCAAAAATCCTCAACAAAATATTCATAAATTCAACAATTTAGAAAAAGAATAATATACCACACCAACTGGGATTTATCCCAGAAATGCAAGCCTGGTTCAATATTTGAAAATCAATGTATGACATTGATTAGAATATTAATATTCTAAATAAGAAAAACAACATGATCATATCAGTAAACACAGAAAAAGCACTTGACAAAATTCAACATAAGAAAAAAGCTTAAACTAGGAACAGAAGGGCACTTCCACCAAAAAAAAAAAAACAAAAACTAGAATTAAACATCATATTTAATGGTGAAACACTGAATATTTTCCCTTAAGATCACATCAAAGATGTACATGGTCACCACTCCTTTTCAACATCATACTGGGAAGTCTGAGCCAGTGCAGTTAGACAAGAAAAAAAGAAATACGACTGTCCTTATTTGCAGACAAAATAACTGTCTACATAGAAAATTATAAGGAATGTGCAAAAAACTCCAAGAACTAGTAAGTCATTTTGAAAAGGGGTACCTGGGTGGCTCAGTGGATTAAAACATCTGACTCTGGGTTTCCGCTCAGGTCATGACCTCACCAGCCATGAGATTGAACCCCACATCGGGTTCAGCACTGACAGCATCTCTCCCTCTCTATCTGCTCCCTCCCTCTCTCTCAAAATAAACAAACATTAAAAAAATAAAAAATAAAAAAAATAAATGATTTTGGCAAGACTGTAGGATACAAGGCCAATGCATAAAGCAATTGTATCCCCACCTGCTAGTAATGTACAACCGGAAAAATACAGGTTTTTTGAGAAAAGTACTTTTAAATACTACTTAAAACACTTTCCAGAAAGGAAATATTTAGGTATAAATACAACATGTACAGATCTGTATGTTGAAAACTAAAAAATGCTAAAGAATGAAGGAAGATCTATACAAATGGACAGATACCATGTTCATATATTAGAAGACCCAACATAAGTAATAACAGCAATTCAACCTAACTTGATTTCATACAATCACAATCATAATCACAATTACAATTACAATCACAATTACAATCATAATTCTGGTAGGATTTCCTTAGATAATAGACAAGCTGAAAATCTAGATGATAAAGGAACTAGGATAGCTAAAACAATTTTGAAAAAGAATATTAAACCCAGAGGAACCACACTACCCAAATCTAAGACTAACTATTAAGCTACAGAAATCAAAACACTAATATGTCAGTGAACTGATAACAAATAGATCAAGAAAACAGAAATAGTCCAGAAACAGATCCACACAAATATGGCCAATTGATTTTTTATAAAAGTGCAAAAGCAATTCAAGGGGAAAAAAGAATCTCTTCAACAAATGCTAGTATCATCCTGGATCAACCTAAGTATTTAAATCTTAAATATCTCTCAAAACCATCCACTTTTTCCTCACCACTACTTCCCAGCCTAAGCTACAATCATCTCTCCTCTAGCTACTGTGATTGTCTGTCTAATTAACTGTTCTATATTAATCTGTTCTCAATTCTGCAAGCCAAATGAGCTTTTCAAAATGCAAACCAAGTCACTCCCTACTGAAATTCTTTAGACTTTCCCATACCTCTTGGGATAATACAAAATTATCCTGATAAGATTTAAAAGGCCATGAACTGCCAAGCTCCTACTACCTAACTTTCTGGACTCATTTTGTACCATTCTCTTCTTTTCACTCGAGGTTGTACTCACCATACTCCTTCCTATTAAAGAAACTTTGCACATAAATATTTCCTCTACCTGATAAGCTCTTACTTCTCTGAATTTCAGTTCAATATTTATTTTTTTAAAAAAAGACTTTCCTGACCTAACTAGTTCAAATTCCTTAATTATAGGCCTCATAGCACTGAAAAGTAATCCTTTATTGCCTTTGTCACCATTGTAATATTACCTTTGAATGACTGCTTATATTTAAATGTGCTTATTTCATGACTGTAGATCCATGAAAGCTGCATATGCATCCATTTGCTCCCAACCGTACCCCCAGAGTATAGCATAATAGAAACTCAACAAATGTTTGTTAAAAGGGCAAATGTATTATTTTATTTATCCCTTACAACTACCCCATTAGCTATGTGCATTTCAGAGATGGAGATCTGAGGCATCAAGAGTTTAGTTAAATTGCTCTTAGTCATACAGTTAAGAAGCAAAGAGCTAGATTACCAATCAAAACATAATTTTAAGGACCAAGATATTGTGTTCTATTGCTGTCCAAATATAACAAAACCCTAAACCAGTTCTTGTCTGCATAGGAGTGAATCTTCACAGTAAAAATAATGCTTTAGTATTCATTCATTCAACAAATATTCATAAAGTGTCACTCACTGTACTAAGTACTAGGTTTACAAGGAAAACAGGGCATGGATTCTTAGCCCTTAGCCCTTATGGGAGCATACATTCATTCCACTATTTATTAACTGAAGACCTACTGTATACCACCTACTGTGCTAAGTAAGGGGGAATCAAAAGGGTGAATAAAGCTTTAAATAATTTTACCAAAAATAAAGTAATTCTATTTGTGATAAGTGCTATACAGGAAAAGTACAGGGTGGCTATGGGAACAGGCCATACAGAGACCTAAACTAGATAAGAATATTAAAGAGAGGTTTCCTAAACAACTGATATTCAAGCTGAAACTTAAAGTATAAGTCTGCATTATCAAATCTGAAAGCAATGTAAACATTACTATTCACAAGAGTTTGAGTTAAAGCAATTCAGTGGAGAAAAGATAAGCATTTGGAAATAATGCTTCCCAAGAGATGGAAGAATCAGGAGTTGCAAAGTCAGGTAGAGACACAATAGGTTAAACTCACCATCAAATATCTATAATCATAAACAATACTATATAGCAAGGGTTGGCAAACTACAGCCTGCTAGACAAAATCAGCCCACAATCTCTTTCTGTAGGCCCTTGACCTAAGAATAATTTTTACATTTTATTTAAAAATAAAAGAGAGGAGGAGGAGGAGGGGGTGTGGAAATAGGAGGAGAGGAGAATTAACATTCTGTATATAGCTTATAAAGCCTAAAATATTTACTATCCAGTTCTTTAAATAAAAGTTTGCCACCCATGCTCCACACATTATAATCAATTAAAACATAATGAAGCCTACCCTAACAAATTCATTAAACGTGATTCTATCTGAACACTTAACATAGCTACTGAATATATAACATACATATCTTCCTTAAAAGTGTAGCTTTATGGTTCAAAGGTATCAAAGGCATACCAAATTTACAACCAGCTATATCGTATGCATTGCTCTTACTTAAATGTACTGTCAACACATGTTCAAATAACAAACACTTTAGCCAAGACAGATGTATAAAACTTGGTACAGATAAGAATGTGGTTTACTGGGGCGCCTGGGTGGCACAGTCGGTTAAGCGTCCGACTTCAGCCAGGTCACGATCTCACGGTCCGTGAGTTCGAGCCCCGCGTCAGGCTCTGGGCTGATGGCTCGGAGCCTGGAGCCTGTTTCCGATTCTGTGTCTCCCTCTCTCTCTGCCCCTCCCCCATTCATGCTCTGTCTCTGTCTGTCCCGTAAATAAATAAAAACGTTGAAAAAAAAAATTAAAAAAAAAAAAAAAAGAATGTGGTTTACTAAAACACAAGTGTATTTTTTTATATTTAGCTGAAAACACTAATATAAAATATCTGTAGTGTATGAGACTAGGTCAACAGATTCATATTATTTTGAAAAATAACTGCACTATATTAATAAGAGAAACTATATACTTACCAAGATTTTCTTCAATTCTTCAAGTTCTACTTCTTTGTTATTTTTAAGCTTAGTCATCTCTTCTAAAATAAGCAAAAGAATAAAAGGTGTGAAAAGCCAGATTAGAAGAACAGGAAAGGAGAGATGAGAAATAAGAATACCACAGTTTGAAAGGGAAGAAAACCGAGATGGTTTAGTGCAACTAAAGAAAGCACCATAAAAGGACAGGTTTCATTCTTTCTCATTGCCAAGTAGTATTCCATTGTATATATAAACCACAACTTCTTTATCCATTCATCAGTTGATGGACATTTAGGTTCTTTCCATAGTTTGGCTATTATGGCCTTTTGTAGCAACAGGGATGGAACTGGAGAGTGTTATGCTAAGTGAAATATGTTACACAGAGAAAGACAGATCCCATATGTTTTCACTCTTATGTGGATCCTGAGAAACTTAACAGAAGACCATGGGGGAGGGGGAGGGGGGAAAAAAAGTTATAGAGGTAGGGAGGCAAACCATAAGAGACTCTTCAAAACTGAGAATAAACTGAGTGAGGGTTGATGATGGGTAGGAGGGAGCGGAAAGTGGGTGATGGACGTTGAGGAGGGAACCTGTTGGGATGAGCACTGGGTGTTGTATGGAAACCAATTTGATAATAAATTTCATATTAAAAAATAAATAAGTAAATGCCTTAGGTAAAAAAAATAAAATAAAAAAGAAAGAAAGCACCATAAAGCATAGAGGAAGTCCAAATGGAACTACGCAAAAATAATGGATATGTATTAATAGCAATGTTTGTATCAAGTTAATTCCACAACCAAATGAGCCCGGAGTTCATTAGTCAAAATAAGCAATACACACACACACACACACAGACACACACACACAGACACACACACACACACACATATTCCAAATATATTTGGAATGAGGTCACTCAGCATGTACCTTTACCTTTAATTCATCACTGTCTAAATGCCTGGCCTCTTAATCTTCACTCTCAACTAAAAAGGACAAGTGATCCACTTTTCTCAAGCTAATTCTGACCATTGTACTCTGGACTTCAACATTCCTACCTCCTCTGAGACTTTAGTTGCTTATATAACCAATATATATATACTGACTCTCTGTAAAGGAATCTTTCATTTCCCCCATCCCATCAAAACATCCATTTGAATACAAAACAATCTGACCTTTCTGCCTCTTCTTACTACTGTCCAATTTCTTTGGTTTGCAAACAAATTCCTGTTATCTACACATTTCTTTCTTAGTCCTATGCAAAACTAATGCCTATCTCATGACATTACATTAATTACATCTCTTACATTATTTTACATTATTTATAAGTATTTATAAATAGAAATACTTTAATATTTATAAATAATTCATAATTTATATTAAATATTTATAATTACGTTATTTATAATTACATTATTAAAACTATGATCCTCAATAACCATTCTGTGGTACAATTCTCAGACCTCTTTATTGTGGAGCTTTCTGGCATTTAATGCTATCAACTACTCTCTATTTTTCTTTGATTTTCAAGACCTTGTGTTATTTGCATTTCCTGTTTTCTCTGCTGACACCCTTCTTTTTTTTTTCCTACCCTAAATAATAACACTCTACACAAGGCTTTTAAGTCTATCTTTTATTAATTCAGTATTAGACTAATAAATTTATAAAACTTTTCCAGGCCAAACCACCTTTATCCTCCTTTCTTAAATTCTTTAACTGCCTACAAAGTTCCCAAATGATGCCTAGCTGTCAGCTACAATTTTATTGTATTTGAAACATTGTCTTTCTTCACTGTTAATTAAGGGTTTTTAATAAATGGAGATATAAGAGATTTACTGGAAATTTCCAAGACTCTGTACATTAAAAATAAACAGGGGTACCTGGGTGGCTCAGTTGGGTAAGTGTCTGACCTCTGCTTGGGTCATGATCACATGGTTCGTGAGTTTGAGCCCTGCGTCAAGCTCTGAGTAGACAGCTCAGAGCCTGGAACCTGCTTTGGATTCTGTGTCTCCTTCTCTCTCTGCTCCTCCCCCGCCTGCACACACACTCTCTCTCAAAAATAAATATTTTAAAAAAATAATAAAAAACAAAAGTGAAAAATAAAAAATATTGTAATAATTGCCCACAATTTTTAAGGAAAAATCAAACAAATAGGAAATGCCAACATGGAGTCAAAAGAAACACCTGTCACAAGCAAAGCTTATT